CGGTTACAGACAGTTTTTTTATTTTTTTAGAAAATATTTGGAAAGATATGGTGAATATTTACTAACCATATTTCCTAGATTTTAGGATATTTTCGCAGAATATATATTCTACCACCCATAGACAAAAGGAAAAAACTGGAAGATGAATTCTACGAATGGTGGATTATAGTAGTTACGGTAGAATATATATTCCGAAAATTGGTAGAATATAGAACAAACATTAGAACGTGTACTCTACCAAATCAATTAAATCGTAGAATATAGAGTAATGAGTAGAACCTATATTCTACGAGTGCGTAGATATATCAATAATCCGTAGAACCTATATTTTAAATACAGTATACTCAGACCAATTTGTGGAATATATATTCTACTACCCCGTAGACGGTAGAATTTGATTTCTGGAAAAGGTAGAATAGAAAATTATTTTCAATTCTAACCATATTTTTAAAATAAAAAAAAATATACTTATATTATTCCCAGTGACTCTTTTATTGTTTTGAATTTTTCTAATTTTTTTTGCTGTTAAAACTATTTTAATAATTTATTAGAAATATCCAAAGGGCAAATTAGGTAAAAAATAGAAAAAGGGGTAGTAGGACAAAATCAAATCAAATTTGATCCATTTACACAATTTTCCCTAAATTCTATATAATTCTAATGTTATTCAATTAAGCATTTCATCAATTCTAATAAAATCTCACGTTATTGGATTAAATATTTTTTGTCATTCTTTCCGATTCCTTTAAATTCTATTGTTATTCAGTATATAGATTTCTTGATTCTATTAATTACGTGTGTTATTACATTTTAGGTGGAATTTATGGGAATGTCATTATGAAATAATTTAATAGAAATTTTAATGCAAAACTATAAAGAATCAATTCTGATCTTTTTGGTTGTTAATTCGATGGAATTGATAACCGTTAGCCTAATTTCTTTTTCTCTACGTAGTATTTAACAAATACAATTCTTGTTCTCTTATAAACTATAGTTAACAAAATCCCTACAAAATAGTGAAGATAGATCTTGTTATATAGAATTCAAATTTTTGTTCATTACTCTAGTCAACTGTAAAGAATCAATTTATGTTATAGATTTTTTTATATGTTCTAGTAAACAAATTTTGAGAAATTTTGAGAAATACCATTTTTCAAAAATGTCACATTTTCAAAATCTTTGCAAACATACCACTTTTTTAAAATTATTTATTCATTATATCATTTATGTTTGGGTTAACTATGTTATATTAGGGTTTTTGAGGGTCAATACATTT